TCTTTTACCTAGAAATAAAAATCGGCCCCGGAGGTTAGAAAATTAATATATTCTGTCGTGGGTTTATTTTTAATAAAGCATGATTGTGGGCTCCGGGTGTGGGAGATTGTCACAGATTGTTGGTGCTTTGACGCCTACAGACAGATGGAAATGAACACTGTAGGTAGGTCACTTTGCAAGCCGCAGCCAAACATGCCGGATGTGTTTCGGCTATTCATTTCCCCCCAGAAACAAGTGCTCTCGATGGGAGCAGAGCTGGACCACTTGTGTGTGTTGGGCTGTGTTTTGTTTTGTTTAAATTTTATTTATTTATTTGTTTGTTTATCGTGTGTGTGTGCAGCCAGCTCAGCCCACCAGGGGGTGGGGCTGGCTGGCATGTGGCCCTGGGGGATTGAACCATGGTCCCTGTGCTTTGCTTAGCTTAGCTTAGCTTGTTCTAAGTAGGTGCCTCAGACCACCGAGCCATCTCACCAGCCTTGTTTTGTTTTTAAATGTATTTTAAAAGGCTGAGGCAGGAAGACTGCAAAATCTACAGTCTCACTACACGGATTGGACTCATAGTGATTCTCCTGTTTTCAGTCTCCCAAATGCTGGGAATACAGGCGTGTGCCAGGATGCCCAGTCTCAATCGCTGTCTCAGTGCACCCTGGGGGTGGGGCTGGCATGGCACGCGCCCCCTCCCCTAGTATCTGCCTAGGTAGGTGCCTCAGTGCACTGAGCTATCCCCAACTGGTTGGCTTTTTGAGACAGGGTCTCAGTGTGTACTGCAGTCTCTGGCCTCGAACCACTGTGGAACCTTGGGTGGCCTTGAACTCTTTGTGATCCTCCTGCATCAGCCTCTCAGATGCTGGGATTTCAGGTGTGTACCCTCCTGGCCCTGAAAACACCTTTTTTTCTGAATACTTCAGGATTTGAAGCTTGTCTGTTGTATTGAGCTCATAAAAATTAGGACGTAAAAATGTTTCTATTATTTGAAACAAGTGACCAGGTTACCAGCATACAATGAAGTCGTTTCTGAGCTAGGATGTCACTTGACCAGGACAGGAGGAGGCTGTGATACTCATCACAGCGTGGACAGACCTTGAGCATGCTGTTCTTAGTGACAGACGTCAGACACAGGACATGCAGCATGTGCTCTGGACAGCAAGTGCCTGGGACAGAGGACTCCAGAGACAGGAAGTGCCCTTGGGGGTGCAGGGCTGGGTAGCGGACTTGGTGTTTGCAGAAGGTGATGAAAAAATGTGAAACCATCCCAGCGCTACAGGCGGCTGAGGCAGGAGGACTGCAAGTGCGCAGCCCCAGCTGAGCAGCTTAACAATTTAGCAAGTCCTGTCTCAGGCCAGGATGGAGCTCAATGTGCTGGCTCTGGGGTCAGTCCCTGGGCTGCCAAACACGCACAAGGTATGGCGGCTGTTCCCTCCTCCCTCGGCCAGGGCTGGATAGCTCTCAGTGTTTCACCAAAACCACTCTTTGTTAGACGTCTAAGTATCCAGAGTGATGCTGAGGTGCTCCTGAAGACTGCGCAGGCAAGGTATTCATGAGCGCCGGGCAGAAGTGAGCGTAGGGTTTCCAGCTGGAAGCAGCCAGAGCTTCAAATGTCCAAGGATGGACTCGCAGAGCGTGGCAGCCTGATCGTACCCCAGCAGTATCTGGCTACTTGCTTTCCAGATTTGGAAAGCGCGCTTCACTAAGTCCTGAGAGGCAGTTGGGGCTAGAAAGTGCTATGCAGCGGGTAAATCTCTGCACCCCCAGCGGGGCCACATGGAGCCAGCCCAAGTCCCTGCCTGGTCTCCATCTCCCCCACCTAAAAAACGCCATCTCTGCCTCCTCCCATCGCTCCATTAAGGCTACTCCGTGGATCTGTACATACGCATGCGCAGCTGCGCCCAAGCGCAAGGCATAGCGGGACCGCAAGGACGCGCTTGATGTCTGAAATTACTATCGCGAAGGATTAAGTGCGTAAGGGCCAGCCAAATAGTTCAGCAGATTAAAGCGCCTGCAAGCAGGAGGGGGGGGGGGTTGGGGGGGTGCGATCCCCCGGCCTGCTGTACTGGTCCCGCCCCTGGGGTGTGCTGGGACCGCAATTGAGACTGGGCGTGGTGACTTGTGCCTGTAATCCCAGCACTTGGGAGGCTGTAAACAGATGGATTACTACGAGTCTGATCTAGTAGTGAGACCCTGAACACTGTATAGACCCTTCCATAAAATAAAAAAATAAAAAAATAAAAGAAAAGAAAAAGAAAGAAAAAAGAACTAAGTACATGGGTGGGGTGGGGTGGGGTAGGGTGGGCTGTGGCTTTCCCGGCATTGCAGGGGACTTTGGGATAGGAGAGGAGGGGCTGGTCTCTAGGATTGAGTTTGATCCTTTTGGTTGTAATTTTGTTTTTTGTTTTTTATTTTTTTTATGTGTGTGTGTGTGTGTGTGTGTGTGTGTGTGTGTGTGTGGCCAGCTCAGCCCACCAGGGGGCGGGGTTGGCTGGCATGTGGTGCTGGGGGATTGAACCCACAGTCCCTGTGCTTTGCTAAGCTTGTTCTAATTAGGTGCTTTAGACCACTGAGCCATCTCACCAGCCCCTGGTTGTAATTTTGTAGCAAAGAGAAAGCAAAAAGATTCGCCAGCGGTGGTGGTGCCCACCTGCCAACCTAGATACTCCAGAGGCTGAGGCAGGAAGATCTTGAGTTCCAAACCCTATCTCAAAATTAAAATTTAAAGAAGCTGAGGGTGTTCCTCAGTGTGAAGGTGCAGGGATCAAGCCTTGATATGGGTCGGGGGCACATTTAGCTTTGGGAGGCACAGGAAATGGCTCAGGAGGGAGCTGGCTTCAGCTTGGGGAGTGTCAGGGAGGTTTGGGCTTTCTGGGGGGACCCTGGGCATCATGCTCCAGTGGAACTGGGCCAGCATCTGAGCTGCAGGTGGGTACTGAGGGACACGGGGTCCTCGGCAGGGCAGAACAGGGTCTTCAAGTTGTGCTGGAGCCCTGGAGGGACACTGTGCCCTGCACCACCACATACGGCCAGCAGTGACACTGATGAAGGGACACACTGAAGATACCTACTGGTTCCCGATGAGCGCAGCTGCCACGTGGGCTCCCAGATGTGCTGCAGTTGTACTCCTGGAGAAGTTTCATCTTTTTTTTTTTTTTTGGAAACTGAGGATTGAACTCAGACCCTTGCACTTGCCAGGGAAGTGCTTATTCTACTGAGCCATCTCCCCGGCCCCTCTTTCTTAAGGCAGGGCCTCACTCTGTAGCCCAGGCTGGCCTTGAACTCACAGCACTCCTCTTGTGTCAGTCTCCCAAGTGCTGGGATTACAGGCGTGCACCACCATGCCAGCTCCAATCGTTTTCATCTTAATCCCTTTTTCTGCTTACAGAGGAAACCCGTGTAGGAATTAAACCTGATGTCTGTGAGCTGCTTGATTTCCTTTTCGGACCCAGGGGACCCTTAGGCTGTTGGGGACCCTAGGGCTGGGTCACTCTCTGTGAGACAGGTGCTGAACAACCACCATGACTGCCTCCTGCTCCATGCCAGGAGTTCCCAAGTTGTGGCAGCCACTCTCATGCTGAGACAGGCCCGGTGTCTCCTGGATGAGGGGAGACTCCCCCAACCCATGAAGAGCATCTACTCCAGGATAAGCTACTTGAGGATGGCTGCGCACACCTGTGATCCCAGCCCTCGGGAGGCTGAGGCAGAAGGACCGCAGAACCTATTTTAAGGAATTTAACAAATTAGCAAGACTGCATCCCAAACACAATGAAAAGGGCTGGGAATGCAGCTCAGGGCCAAGGCCCTGGGTTCCATCTTAGTACCTCAAAGAAAAAAAGTTACATGGGCTAACTCGAAATTTGCCACCCCCCTGCCTCAGCCTCCCAAGTAGCTAGGAGCCCTGGGTGCACCAGCGTGCATGGCTCCACAAGTGTCTCTGGCACATGTATATGTTCCTGAGCCAGCTGGCAACAGTTTCTGGAGATGGCAGTATGTTACTTCCTCTTCCACTCTGAGGGGGTTGGGGGCAAAAGGAACTCAGAAGCTGCACTTGGAAGGGAACCACGGTGCTAGTAGGCATCCAGAGAGTTTATGTCCTACTTAAAAAAAAAAAACAGATGGGGAAACTGAGGACTGAGGATGTGCCTGTGAGTGGCAAAGTCAGGATTTGAACACAAGTCTCCCAAAACCATATCCAGGGCATTTTCTAGCATACAATCAGAACTGGAGCTGATACCTTGAGCCCAGCCCATGTGCCCAAGCTGAGAAGTGTGGCTTTTTGTGGGGGGATGGAACCAAGGATTGAACTCAGGCCCTTGCGCTTGCCAGGGAAGTGCTTATTCCACTGAGCCATCTTCCAGCCCAAACTGTGGCTTTGAAAGCTCTAGTGCGCTTGCTGGAAGGCTGAGGCAGGAGGATTGCAATTTCAAACCCAGCAAGGGCAACCTAGTAACTTAGTGAGGCCCTCTCCCAAAACAGATGTTAAAAAAGGGCTGGAGATGTAGCTCAGAGCAAAGGCCTTGGATTTCATCCCAGTAGAGGAAAACAATTTTAAAAGCACTAGTGGGGGGAGAACCAGGGTGTGGTCAGTGAGAGTTTTCTATCAGTTCCAATCGCCTCAGCCTCCTTTAACATCCCCTATGTGTTCCCCACTTCCCCACCCTTGCCAACACCCCAAAAGGCAGGGTTTGGTATGTTTATGGAGTCCTCAACTTAGGCTGCCCACTTTTGTTTGAGATGGTCACTGTGTGGTTCAGGCCAGCCTTGAGTTCCAGCGATCTTCCTGCCCCAGTCTCCCGAGTGCCAGGATGCCAGGTGTGGGCTTGGCTTTGAAGGCCTTGGTGGCCCAAGCTCCTCAAACTCCACCCTCAAAAAGAGGCAGAAGACAAATTCCAGAGCCAAGTTTTCTTTAATGAAAAAGAACATGACCCTGGAGTCCGGGAGTTGGGGGGGAACAGTCATGCCTCAAGGTAAGGTCCCCTGGCCTGGGGGCGGAGCCGAGCTGGGTGCACACCACCGAGGTGCTGAGGCTGTGCTGCCTCGGCCTAGCGCAGCTGCAGCAAGCGGAGGGCAAGGTGCAGGTGCTGCCGGGTGTTGGCGCTGCAGCCGCGCATGCGCAGCGCTCGCAGGGCGCAGGAGACACTGCGCCGGCCTGGCTGCCGGAGGGTGAGCCGAAGGTCCTCACCGGCCCCGCTCACCACCAGGTGGGCCTGGGTACGGCTGAAGCTGGCCTGGCGGGGACGAGCCAGTCAGGGACAGGAGCTAGGGACACCAGGGTTTACCAACGGGAGAACTGAGGCTTGGGCAGGACTTCTCTGCCCATAGGCTCCATATGGGACTCCCACAACGTCTTTTTTGCAATACAGCGATGGAACCCAGGGCCTTTACGCAGAGCTCCATCCCAAGCCCTTTTTATTTTGAGACAAAGTTTTGCTAAGTCACTACATTGTTCAGCTTTGGTCCTGAACAGAAGATCCACCTGCCTCAGCATTCCAATATTTTAGAGCTTCACCTTCCCAGGAAACATTGAGCCCCTCGCCTGCCCTCCCCCCTCACCTGCACGGTGTCATCACTGAACAGCAGCAGAAGCACCTGCGGCGACACAAAGAACCGCAGCAGGCAAAGGTCTGGTGCAGCAGGTGGCTGGGGCGCTGGTTGTGCTCCCTCCTGTGGACAGACCAACTGAAGGCCAGGGCCACACGGTGCCCAGGCCCGACCTCCCCTCTAGGGCCTGGCCTCACCTCTCTAAGTCGCCTCTGCATGTAGCAGGTAAAGAACCGCAGGACAGCGAGCTTGGCACCTAGCGAATTTGGCATGTCCCTCAGGGTGAATGCCTTGAGCTTCCCACGGGCAGGCAGGTAGCAGACTTGGCTGGAGGAGAAGGGGTGTGTAAGGCTCGGTCCTGAACACCCCAGTCTGTACACACCTTACCATCCATCCAATTCTCTCTGTCTCTGTCTCTGCCTCCCTCCCTCCCTCCCTCCCCTAACTTGATAAGTTATCCAGGACAGTCTGGAACCTGAGACCCTCCTGCCTCAGCCTCCCATCATGCTGAGGTGATAGGCTCCTTCTTATCATTCCTGTCTAACCTGAACAGCGCTAGCACAGGAACCCCTTCCAGGGCCATGCTATTGACAGTCACTTTGCCTTCTGGCCTGCCACCCCACCTGGTTATTCCCTTGAGAAAAGCATCGAACCCCATAGAGCTGTGCCGTGGGTGCTTAATACATGAGGAACAGATAGGATTTTTAAAAGATAGGGGAGGAGCTGGTCCTCCAGGGCAAAGAATCCAGCACTCACCCTCCTGGGGGGCGCAGGGCCATGTGGGTACCATCCCGGAAGAGGACCGCACTGCCTCCGTCAGACAGCTGGTAGCCAAAGCCGTATTTGCTGGAATAATCCACCCATGTGGGGGCGCAGAGCACAGGCCACTGCTCCCCTGGGGGGTCCTGTGTGGCTGGGCACAGAGATAGGATGGGAGGGTAGGGGTCAGGGTTGGCTTTCAGTGGGGTCATCAGCCATAGGTATGGCCTGGACAGAGGGGTGGTACATTGTGTGTTTGTGTGTGTGTGTGTGTGTGTGTGTGCGCGCGCGCGCGCGCTCCTGCGTGTATTCATGTGTGCACCTGCAAGTGCATGTACATGCTACTAGGAATTGAAGCCGGGGCCTCTGCTCTGAGCTCCATCCCCAGATCTTTATTTTTTATTTTGAGATAGGGTGTTGCTAAGTCACTGAGTTGCCCAGGCTGGGCCTAAGTTTGGGATCTTCTTGCCTCAGCCTCCCAGAGTGCTGCTGGCTTCCACAGCAAACTAGGAGGCAGAGGAGGTATGGGCAAAAGTCTGGGGATTGATCTGGTGACTCTTCCTTTCTCGGGAGTCATCAGGGGCCTGAGACACCCTGGAAACAAGGAATTCTGGGTCAACATGTGCACAGCACTATAAGGTGTTGTTTTATGTTATTTAAAATGTTCGCACTCAGAAGTAAGAGTTGCTTAATGTTGGTACAGTTGGAAAGGAGGATTAACTTCTAACTTTTTCCAGCTCAGGAGGGAAACTACAGATGACAACAGTGACCCCAATATTTCTAAATAGTTACTAGGGAGCTGTGTGGGGTGACACATGCCTGTAACGTCACATCCCCAGGACGCCAAGGCAGGAAGATTGCAAGTCTGAATTCAGCTTGGGAAATTAAGCAAGACCCTGACTCAAGATAAAAATTTTTAAAAAGGTTGGAGTGTTTCTCAGTGGTGAAGTCTGCCTAGCACACAGGAGGGTTCCGTGCCTACAGCTGTAAAGATCAAAAACAAAACTCAGGAGCCGAATGCAGGACATCCTGAGGACAAGGCCCTTGCGGTGCTGGGGCCTGGGGTTCCCCTCAGAGCAGGGCAGCAGTGGGTGGAGGGCAGGGGGTAGGGAGCTCAGGAGGGCAGGGGGCTCAGGCTTTGGGGGAGCATGTCTGTCTCAGGAGGGGCAGCAGGGGGCAGAGGCCGGGCTCCCAACTAGGTCCTCTTTGCCTTAGGCAGCCCCCAGAGAGACTGAGCAACTCAGGGAAGTCACCACACCCCATGACACCACACCCCATGAAGGTGCTCACAACCACCCCAGCCTCCCGAGGAGCCCTGAAATACCCAGGGGAGTCGTGGTGGGGACAGAAGACAGAGCCTAGTGCTGGGCTGGGCTCCTACCCTCAGGGCCAGCATCCAGGCACAGCTGAAGGTTCCTGATGGCCGCCTCCACTTCCAGCTGGGGGCTATCCTCTGGGCCTGGGAGGACAGAGCTGTCTGGAGGTCTGTAGGCCTGAGTTCCCACCAAGATGACCCCTCCAACCAGCCCCTCTAGAGTCCTTCATGCAGGAAAACCTCATCCCTCCCCCCACCCCTTCCTAATTTTTATTTTGAGACAGGGTCTCACTAAATTGCATAGACTGAGCTTGAACTTGTGATCCTCCTGCCTCAGTCTCCCACCAGGAAATCTTCTGGGATTGGGGGTTTTGTTCTGTTTTGGTTTTTGAGAAAGAGTCTCATTGCATAGTCCAGACTGTCCTTAAACTCACTATGTAGCCCAGCTGGCCTCCACCTTGCAGCGCTGTCAGTTTCCTGAGTGCCAGGAGGACAGAGGTGACCACTCCAGCTGGCTAGACAATCTCATCTTAAACCCAGAAAGGTTCCAGGTGTCATTCCCATGTTACAGGACAGAGGTGGAGGCCAAGAGAGGGGCCGTGGCCCTCAACTATGTCCCCACTTCTAGGTGTCCACCACCTGCCACGGTCCCCACACAGGACAGAGGGCACACTCACCTGCAGGGTCACTCCGCAGGGCCCCTTGGGTGAGCAGGCAGACAGGGCCCTCAGGGTCGGGAGCCCTTCTCTCAGATGCAGGCACCTTTGAGGGAGCCCCAGAAGTGAGGGAGGCCCCTCCCCTGAGTGCAGATTGGGTGGGCTGGTGAGGGGTTCCCTCCCCATCCCCTCCACCACTTCAGGACTTTCCTTCCACACACCCTGCTTGGCACCCAACGGAGCTGGGTTGTTTGGGGGCCAAATCGCCCAAATGAATGCGCTGGGGACTCAGCAAATGGATGGAATGAACTGAGGGTGTGAACCAGGCAGCAGCAAGAACCCCAGGTTTGGGGCCAGAGTTGGACACAGCGGGATTCAGGCCAGGGCCCTGGGAAGGTTAGCTTCTATTGGGGCTCAGGAAGCCTGCAGGGTGCTTTATTTAGAGTCAGGGTCCCATGTTTGGTTTAGGCTGTCCTTGAACCTGCATCTCCTCCTGACTCAGTCTTCTGAGTGGTAGGCTTACAAATGTGCACTTCCATGAACCTGCACAGGGGGACTTCAGAGGGTCCCTCACCCCTAATTTCTTACCTTGTTGCCCCACTCCATGGGGTCTGGTTCCAGCCCCTCTGCTTCTGGACCTGAGTCCTCTTTGGGGATGAAGGGGCCTGAAGGAGAACAAGTTTTTGGGACAGGGGCTGGTGAGATGGCTCAGTGGTCTAAAGCACCTACTTAGAACAAGCTTGGCAAAGCACGGGGACCACGGTTCAATCCCCCAGCACCACATGCCAGCCAGCACCGCCCCCTGGTGGGCTGAGCTGGCTACACACACACACACACACACACACACACACACACACACACACATAAATAAATAAAATTTAAAAAAAAAAAAGTTTTGGGACAGATCCAGGGTTTCATGCAGAGGGGAAGCACCCGCCACCATATCCCACCTCCACCACCAATGCAGAGATGGTGCCGGGTGCAGTGCTCACGGGGTAGCCGGCACTCAGCGAGCAGCAGCCGGCCCACCTTCCGGAGGAGGCCATCCAGAGGCCGGGGGACTGCAAAACTTGGGGGACTGTGGCAGGAACAGGGCGGCAGGCGCTCAGGGGTGAAGCCCTTCCAAGAGAGGAATTTGGGGTCAGCCTTTGCTCTGTGGAATCAGCTCCCCATCATCTGCTCTCTCAGAAAGAGGGGAACCCCAGCTGTAGGTACACAGCTGACATCATGCTAGGCCGGCCCCTTGGCTGTCACGGCCCACCTGGGTGAAGAAGTCGTCCTGCAGCAGCTGGTCCAGGCTGGGCCGTTCAGCCGGGTTGGGTGCCAGGAGGCGGGCAATGAGGTGGCGTGCATTGGGCGACAGGTGGGCAGGCTCTGGGTAGTGGCCATCTCGGATGTTCTGGTACATCTCCGGGAGGGGCGCGGCAGGGAAGGGCGGGCTGCCAGTGAGCACTGTGTACCTGGGCAGTTAGGGCGGTAAGCAAGTGCTCTGGGTGTGTGAGGTTTGCTCTCACCTGCTCATCACACCTGGCCATGCCAACCTGCACACCCTCCTCTGTACACACTTTGTGTTGTGCTGTACCTAAGTCCCCTGCCACCAGCTGGCCGTCCCTGTGCACAACACTCAGCATGCGTGTGCGCGCCCACACACACACATGCACACACACACCTGTGTCCACCTGCTCACTAGGGCTTTCCCTCCCCAGGCTACGTGGTTCCCACCCACTCTCCCACACAGGCCTCCCACCTGCCCACACCTGTCCACACTGCGGCACATGCACACTTGTCCCCACTCAGCTGCAACAACGTGAGGTGTGATTGAAGCAGATGGTAAATGTTTTAGGTGTTAAAAATTGATCCTAGTAAAGGGTACATGGCCATGCGTGCCCCTCAGACCTCTCTCCTTCCCTTCCTGCACCCCCATTGCAGCGTTCCAGCTGCTTTCACTCTGGGGTTCTCTCTCATGAGTCTCTTCAGTTGGGCTATCCTGGCTGTCTGTGTGTCCTGAGTGGATTCAAAACGTCTTCCTTTCATGGTCATTTGAACTTCTAGGGACAACCAGAATTGCATGGTGCCCAATCCTGCGTGTAAGGTGCATGGAGGCAGCACCATGTTTTTTATGAGCCACCTTTCGGTTGGATGGCACTCAGCAGCAGTGTTCACCATTTTATTATTTTTAAAAATTTTTATTTATTTATTTTGCAGTACCAGGGATTGAACTCAGGACCCTGTGCTTGCCAGGCAAGCGCTCATTCTACTGAGCTATCTCCCCAGCCCAGTGTTCACCATTTTAGTTAGTTTGATTGAGACAGGGTCTCTCTAAGCAGTTCAGGCTGGCCTTGAGCTCACTCTGTAGCCCAGGCTGGTCTTGAACTCACAATGATCCTCTTGCCTCTGCCTCCTGAGTGCTGGGATTACAGGTCTGAGCCACCATGCCCAGCTTCTAGACTTTTCTTCTTTTTTTTTTTGGAGGGGGGAATAAACAAATTTTTAAATCAATAAAAACTATACAGAATTTCAATAGAAAATAATAAGAAATTAACAATGGTCTGCTAGGGGCTGGGGAGATGGCTCAGTAGAAAAAGCGCTTCCCTGGCAAGCACAAGTGTCTGAGTTCAATTCCTAGTTCCACAAAAAACAAACAAACAAACAAAAAAAAAAACAGAAAGAGGGGCGGGGAGATGGCTCAGTGGAATATGCGCTTCCCTGGCAAGCACAAGGGCCTGAGTTCAATCCCTGGTTCCACCAAAAA